AAGACTGGTCGCGATGTTGTTACCTCACACTCCGTAATGTTAAATTTAATAAGAAAAAAATCTAATTTTTCTTCGATGAGGACATTAAGATTTCTTGCAAAATTGCCAATACCGTTTGCCGTCTAGCGAAAGTAGGGAAGATATGATTAGAATTTTTTAAAGAGATGCAGATATTTTTGCCTGAAAGGGATATGAAAAAATCAACCATTTTTCTTACTATTTTAAGCATGAGTAAAAACTCATGGCACTGAAACGGTTCAAAAAGTTTGTGTTGTAATCAGAATGTGACGGTTAAAATAGTGAGTGGTGTAATCGGAATGTGTGTGCGTGTGTGGCAGGCGTTCCACTCGCTGGCGAAGTGCGTGGCGGCGGTGGTGGTGGAGGGCGGCGCGGACGCGCTGGAGGTGGTGCGCGAGTTCCTGCGGGACGCCGCGCGCCCGCCCTCCGACCCGCACCACATGTTCGCGCTGCTCGCGCTCGCGGAGATCGGACGACACCTGTTAGTTCTCACCCTTTCTACTGCCCTTTAACACCCAGTACTACATATGTATTGCGAAACTTTTTTTGCTGGTCAATATTATAATATTACAGGCCATAAAATACAGGCTAATTATTTTTGCTCTTTATTTGGTATATTTCTGCACTAAATATGACGACAATAAACCCATCGTAGCTACACTAAATAACAATTAAAAATAATCAACTTAAATTAATGATATCAGCCAGAACAATAACTTTGCTGGATCCCAAGCTGGCTCTGCCAATATTTTATGGAATACAACCATGTCTAACCTATTTAACTTAAATATAATTACTGTGTTAATCGACATATTTTCAGAGACTTGAGTTCGATTCCGAAACTGAAGGAGGTGCTTTTGGATTCGTTTACACCATCCTCGGAGGAAGTGAAGTCAGCGGCGAGCTACGCACTCGGCTCGGTCGCCGTCGGTAACCTACCAGAGTTTCTGCCGTTCATACTAGGTGAAATAGAAGCGCAACCCAAACGCCAGTATCTGTTATTACACTCCTTACGTGAGGTTAGTTATACAATGTTTGAACTAAATGTTTACAATGTTTCTTACTTGTTTAACATACAGTTACAATTACAGTTCAGGGTAATTTATTAAATGCTACTAATTTTTATTCTTTCATTTAGTCAATGATGATTTTTATCATATGTGTACGTAAAATGCTATAGTATTACAAAAAAAGATGTCCAATAATGTAAGGAATTAAAGTAGAATGTTTAATTGCTGGTTAATTTTTTTTTATTATTTATAAACCATTTGAATCTTGTGTCTTAACTGTAATATTTAACTCTATGAACAATCAAGTCTTAGCGCATTTCTAAATACAACCCTTAAATATAAAACAAACTTATTTGGTGATACATCCCAAATTTTTTTTGTCAATAGATTATTACCTCAGAATCATGTACACCGGAAGGTGTAGAAGCCTTAAGACCTTTTATACGAGAAATTTGGGTGCAACTATCTAAACATTGCCAATGTGCAGAAGAAGGGTCTCGTAACGTGGTAAGTGCCTATGATTTGTACTAAATTCTTAATTGTTATGGCCTAACACATGACTAATAGAAAAATCGGAAAAGTTCAATACTTTTTTGTAATTACTTATCATTAGGATACCGATAGGAAGGTTAGTTGCAGACCGATAATTAGTTGACAGAAAGAAAAATGTGGTGCTATGAATTATGTATTTAGTTTTAATTAACTACTCAGTACTGACTGTGTAGTGTTTTGATTTTCATCAATCATCATTCAATTCAGGCATGTGTATAAGAACATTGGCGTATTCTTATGCATATTCCTGAATTGATTCAGCACAGGATTTATTCTTTGTTTTTAGGTTTTTATTTTAGATTATATGCATGTTTTTTTTAATTAAAACATAAGGCACGTGATGCAATGAATTTTGCTTATATTTCAGGTAGCAGAATGTTTAGGTAAATTATGTTTACTAGAACCCCAAGAACTATTGCCTCAATTGAAGGAATTCTTGAAGTCACCGGAACCACTTACTAGAACGACAGCAGTTACTGCGGTTAAATTCACCATTTCTGATCAGGTTAGTGTCATTATAATATGTATAGTGTTTATTTATTACAAAATAAAAAAATATAAGGAATACTTTTATCAGTTTATATCTAATTAAACTTAAAATGTACCTCACATGCACTAATTGAATTAAATACTCTAATAGAAACAATATTAGATATACAACCAAGTGGTTGAGTTACTAAATAAGAGTAAATCAGACGTAGTAATTAGAGCAGACCAGTCTCTACAAGCTGCACTCTTTCACCAGTATGACAGATGAGACAGCCATCACTGCACTCGACCTGACTGACTTGATTAGATATTTGTGACAAGATAGCTAGCAGTTTTTACCGAAGGTTTAAATATATCCCATGTCATACAAAATGGAAGGGTGCCGCGTGGTGACAGATCCATTACAAGTATATATATATATATATATATATATGGATGTGTTGGTGGGGTGCGTCAGCCGCAAGCGATCGACCCGCTGCTGCGCGCGTGCATGCCGGAGCTGCTGGTGCCGCTGCGGGACGGCGAGCTGGGCGTGCGGCGCGTCGCGCTGGTCGCCTTCAACTCCGCCGCGCACAACAAGCCCTCGCTCGTGCGCGACCTGCTGCCCGACGTGCTGCCCACCATCTATCTCGAGACCAAAGTCAAGGTACCACTACTACACACACACTCCACTTTGCGAACTTACACAAAATAACTTTTGTAGATTTAAGTAGTTTTGTTAAAATAACTTAGCGAATGTGTTGTCCGTCTCTATAGTATCCTAATATCATAGCCAATATTCTATGTAGTAGATAACAAACGAATAAACTGTATAGATTACGTGGCAGTACTAAGAAGGAAAATGGCTAAATAAAAAAAAATTGCAGAGGTGGATTCAATTGTAATTGCAGGCACGCACAATGTATATGAAGAATGTGTGCCTGCTCCTGACACAATATTATATTTTTCAAATAATTTCAATTGCACACTTATTACCGTCGGTTGATAACGATGCCGGTGTTCCATGCTTTGTATATACTTTATGTGAACGAAGGACTGTATATATATGGGGCTGGTAGATATAATATTATGTACAAAATTATAACAGTTAGCAGAACAAGAATAACAATGACATATATATTTTTCTATATAAAATAATAGACAAAATACATAAATAATATACAGAGAGTTGCGTCGTGCACAGTTTATATATTTAGATATATACATATATGATGACAGAACCACTGTCAATATAATATTGTCTCCTGACTACACACAGAATAGACACGTATCAATTATGTTAAAAAGCACATAAATAATAAGTATCTGTTTTGTAGAAAGAGCTAATCCGTGAAGTGGAGATGGGTCCGTTCAAACATTCTGTAGACGACGGGCTGGACCTTCGCAAGGCAGCTTTTGAGTGCATGTACACACTGCTGGGCACGTGTCTAGACCGCCTGGACGTGTTCGAGTTCCTGAGGCACGTGGAGGATGGCCTGCGTGACCATTACGACATCAAGATGCTCACTTACCTCATGTGTGCTAGGCTCGCACAGCTCTGCCCTGCAGTCGTTTTGCAAAGTTAGTCTTACTATTTTATAATATATCGTCAATAGGTACTATGGTCAGATGCATATATAGTTATGCAATATGAATATAACACCGTAGTTCTCTGGAATGGCTATTTATGGGTGTCACGGCATTTTTAGTTGGCTCATGTCTATTAGAAAGTTTATAATATTTATTAATTGGCTTATTGTTTCAATTTCAATATATGAAAGCTTCTTCATCTGTGCCATACTGTTAGTCAATTGTTCTATATATTTTTTTAAGTTAGGCGATATTTGGTAATCTTCTAGACTAGTATTTATAACTTTAGTTTCAATTTACCAGGGCTCGAGAGCTTAGTGGAGCCATTAAGAGTAACATGTACTATGAAAGTGAAGGCCAATTCTGTGAAGCAAGAGTATGAAAAACAGGATGAATTGAAGCGCTCCGCTCTGCGCGCTGCTGCAGCATTGCTACAAATACCAGAGGCTGGTGAGTACTTTTATATTAATAGTTTTTTATGAAAAGGACTGGGAAACTAAAGACTGAAATGTGTTATCATTGGAATTCTTTGGTATATTGTATTATATACATGTATTATACTTATAGACCTTCCTCTTGAATCACTCTATCTAGTAAAAAAAACCGCTTCAAAATCCGTTACGATGTTTTAAAGGTTTAAGCATACATAGGGATAGACAGCGACAGCGACTTTATTTTATACTATGTAATGATGATGATGACAATTCTATGGAGTGCCCTAGGAATGTCTTAATGCAGATTTACATATTTATATCTACGAATGTCATTTATATTTCACATGATTATAGCTGATGTTATGTTGTATTATTTCAGAGAAAAACCCTCATCTGATGGAGTTCGTGACGCAAATCAAAACGATCCCGGACTTGCAGCCAATTTTCGAGTCGATCCTGAAGGACTCGAGCGGCGGCGGCGTGGACTCGAACCTGATGGACCAGAGCTAGCCGCGCCGCGCCACTGTGCCCGCGCCGCTCTCGCTGCACTCGCTCCGCATCTAGTGTCCGTCTCGCTCGTGCACGCACGCAAGTTCATTCGTTGTTTCCCTTTGTTTTCACGTTAAGTTGAGAACCCCTGTTCTTCCTTTTCATTATTGTATAAAAGTTTAAAGTCGAACATCATTTGTATAATTTCAATCGTGATCTCGTCCAAATAATATTTACGCCATTTGTTCAACAGTTTTTTATTATAAAATTACATAGTTACAAGAAAGCTCTACTAAGTCCCTGACGTAACAGTAACGAATAATAATCGGGGTGCCTCACTAAGAGATTTAATATTAAGTATAGTAGGGTTTTAGGAATCATTAGGTCGTCGCTGTACAAATGTTGTGACTGACCGTTACTAGCTTTGCATTACTATCTATTTTCGCTGCCGAGTTCATCATAAATTTATGATCTGTATTAATAGAATTAAAGTATTCTGAAGAAATATAGATAATACTCATAATGATTAACTACTCATTCTTTTTCCCAATGTATGTGTTCAAATTAGAAAAGAATGGCAAACGCTCATACTCTCGGCAACCAAAATTCGAGAGATCTGTTGATAGTTATACATAATTATCGTAATGTATGTATTGTGATATGCTATATGGAAAATTGCAAAAGAATGGATAAATACACTAGTAAAGTGAAACAAGAATAGTATCAGTTATTTTCCTTTCCTCTTGGCCGCGGGCGTGGCGCTTGATGCTCTCGAACTTGGGGCGTCGGTCTGTGGACAGAACATTATAAAGAATGATTCTTAATCTTCGTCTATTTCTGTATGTATACTGAAATTGAAATTGGACGTTATACTTAAAAGAAGTAAGTACTGTTTTTTTATTATTCTGTAAATTATTTTTGGCCATAAGTTCCTTTAACTCTGCCTAGAGAATAGTACGAAGTCTTGCAGCTAGAGTATGATACTGGTGCTCTTAGACTGAGAAGTACATGTTCGCTACTTTAATATTTTACGAACTCGCTCATGTTAAAACAACAGTAATGTTATATATATATATATATATATATATATATATATAATATTTAGTATTTTGAGATATTCATCACTAAATTATTTACACCCAGAAGTTGGTGGATACAAAATAATAATATTGATAATTTCTCTTCACTTAAAGAATAGGACAAAAGTAAAAAACAATTTAATTTTGACAAAATAAATAATGTTACCGGTTTGAGAGGTTTAGCAGGTGAGGCTCGCGCTAGTGTGGCCGCGCTCGCGTTGCGTGACATGGGTCTCGTCGTTGATGTCGACATCGCGCTCACCGGACGCTCTGGGCTCAGCTCTTTGCTACGATAGACAAAAACTACAATTTTCCTAAGGCTCGAGAGAAAATCAGAGTAGTCTGCACAAATTTATTCTCGGACAGTGCCGTTTCGGAGGAGCTTCCTCCTGCGTACGCTTTGATTGTGGAATGAAATGCCTGCCTAGGTTACCACGAGATATTACTACATGTGACACGTGACCTATGTAAGCCTGAAACACCAGGGTTTCAGGCTTACATAGGTCACGTACATACATTACATAGGCTTACATAACCATTTACCATTAGATGGTACGCTTATTTGCCATTATCGTAGTATAATAAAAAGAAACAATGAAGCGAATCCGTAAATCAAAGTCTCAATAAATACATTTGTTTATGCAAATATGTTACATTTTATAGGCGTTTGTCAACATTTGTCAGTATAATATTTTTTACGACTAATTTACAGAAAATGTAGCTAATCATGTCGGTACAGTTTACCATTAACACGAGACAAAACTACTAATACAATGGTACCTTAGATCGTCGAACTAGAATAGAACGTTTTTAAAAGTCACTGCACTATATTGTCATTATAATTACTTTGATGTAAATATATATATATATATATATATAGCAATTTGCGTTAGACTGTCTGTCCTTGTTACTCCAAGTATTATGAAAAAATTCAAAACACAAATGAATGTGGCAAAATATTAAATAACATTGTTGGTGTTGACTTGCTTGTTACCTGTTCCCCCGTGACAGCTGCCCCTTTCTGCTAAACATATCGGAAAGTCGTCCGCGCAAGTCTCGTTTGCTGCCCGCTGCGCTCATATCAGAGTCTGAACCCTGTAATAGTTTAATTAATAAAATATTCGCTATTCCGCTTGATAACTCCACATTATAGCACACATTTATATTCTAAATACACATATATGTAATTTATAGAATTTTAGTCCTTTACTACAATAATAATATCTTAGAACAATTCACACAACTATATCTAGTCCCAAGATAAGCAAATTGTATTGTGGTTATTAGATATATACTTTTTTGTTCTATTTACTCAGACCGATACAAACATTATGAATTTTGTATTCATAATGTTTGTTTGCTTCGTGCAAGGAATCGAACTAACCATTAGAGGTAAGGCGGTGTACTAAATTGTATAAATTACCACTGAGCCTGTCATAATGGCTCTAACATTGAAATATTTTTTAACGATACTTTTTTATAGTTTCTTTTTAAACTCAATACTATTTGTAATTACCTGGGAAACGGTGCCAATAGGTCTAAAGTCAACGATCTCTGGATGATCCACTTGGTCGTCTATAGATCGCGATTTGGTAAGTTTCTTTAATTTGCCGAAAAGACTCTTCTTTTTCTTTTTGTCTCCTGGTAGGACATCGCTCTGTGCTGATCCACCGGACAAACGACTGGAAAATAATATCTTTCTGTAGGGATGCTCCAGAAGAATTGAATTGAAGGGGGGTGGTTTCTTAGTAATGTGGACTAATGATCCCATTGCTAGTTATGTACCAGGTCAGGTTGACCTCCACTTGTATCCTCCTGGAAATCATTATGATATATTCCTTGTGAATTTGCCACGATGGTCTAATTGACCCTCATGCTTATCTTATAATCTTCTATTGGTGCCATCCGTTTGTGAAGACTGGAGCATACTTCCATTATCATTTATTAAAAAATGTAAAAATGAATTGACAATACAATGTTACATGACAAAAACAGTTAAACACTAATTAGGTTTATAAAATTTTATTTGAAAGGAATTTTAACTGTTCTTAAGAAGTTGTTTACCTATCGAGACTGGTATCACGTTGCATTGTAAATAAACGACCATCATCGCCATCTAAAGATTGCATTGATGAGACACTGCTCTCATCTACGGATTTCCAAATTAAGCTCTGGAACATACAGACAATTATTATTATAGTTTATTATCTGTGATCACGTAAGATATTTATTTTCCCACATAGTTTATTGTATCTCGTAGTATAAAAAAGGTATACATACCTGTTCCTTCGTAGTTTGTTCGAGTGAAATGGAACGCTTCTTGAGCGAGGGAGCTCGGGAAGGCGTACGCGACGCTGGCGTCACAGACAGTGTGTCACGTGGCTCTGTCGACATAGCACTGAAAGAAAAACCAGTTCTTTTCTGTACCTACACTCACAGCAAATTGAATTGTGACTAATAAGGACTCTGATACTTTTAAACAATTCTGCAATTTGAAGTAATTTTATTAGTCTGTAACACTTGAAAGAAGTTTTCTGTCGGTTACACATATATGTATATGTATATTTTGAGTACTACACACTTTTTAAACACTGTAAAATCGGCCTTATTTTATGGGAAAAATTGTCTTTTAGAAAACAGAAATGTTAATAAAAAACGTCAAATTACCGTCTGGCACTGGCTTGTTGCCTGCGTTGACGTTCGGCAATGCGGGAAGCTCGTAGCTCGTCGGTGAGGCGCCGCAAGCGTGCTGCAGTCGCCGCTGCTTCAACTGCGCTGTTGGCTTCTGCGCTCTCCGGCGTCGCTGACCGAGATCGGGACTTTGATGACTGCACAATATAAAAGTGTGTGTGTGTAAATATACCTAATATTATAAATGTATGAGTATGGCAGTCTGTTTGTTATGATATCTGATATCTTTTTAGAAAAACGGTTGAATATGATCTTAATTAAATTTGGCGTGAAGATAAAGTTTTCAATGAAACTCACGAGGACGGTTATAGTCTACTTTTTATCTAAAAATAATCTGGAAGCGGGGAAATAGGAAATAAAAGTTAATGCAGACGAGTCGCGGGTTACAGATACTAGGTAAGTATAATATAAACCTGAAGAGAATGAATGTGAAATCTAAAATTAGAAATCGAATTTCGGGAATTATTTTTAATATTTTATTATCGAATCCATGAGGAATATTATAGTCTATTTAACATTACATTAGAGCCAGATTCTTTGGTTAAATATAAAAATGGCAATATTCAAAATGTAAATTTTTTTTACAAGACAAGCATTTAAAGATTTTCTTTATATTTATTTAAATTATTTTTTCCTTTAAAGTTTTATATTTACACAGAAGTATTATATATAATTTTAAAAGTATTTAGATAATGATTAAGACGGCGTTGTTAATATAATTGACTTATATAAAAGGAGGCAAAACTAGCTTCTAATTTTGAAAAATGAGATTTTTCTATTCAATCGAGGATTTTTTTTAATTAGTCTGCAGGTAAAATTACTTATTGAAATCTCAACGCTAAGCTACTTACTCTGTTTCGCCTCGGTGGTGTGGGTGTCATGAGAGACTTTTCAGGTTTTATACCGGATTCGGTACGGAACAGGTCTGGACTTTGCTTCATTAAATCCTCTATTGTCTCCAATAGCTGTGTTATTATTCTATCATCATCCTGTACAACATATAAGATTATATTAAAACACCTACATAATATTTATACGTAAAAAACAAACGCAAGTACTAGAGTAAGTAGGTAAGTCACAAATATACGTACTCCGTCGCTGTTTGAGAGCCTTTTTTGTCTAATATAATAATAATATATGTATTAGAGTATATATGTATATGTATTATATGTTGGGTAAATAATTATTTTATAATTATTAATTCCCTTTATTTTATGTTAGATTTTTGATATAGGTTTTTTATTATAACGATTTCAATCCAATCCATTATATATATATATATATATAGTATAAAACAAAGTAGCTGTCGCTGTCTGTCCCTATGTATGCTTAAATCTTTAAAACTACGCAACGAAGGATTGTGAGGCAAACAAAATTTTGTCTACTGACTAGGGCACTCATCGTTACCCCATTTTACATTTTACTGTTGTTATTTAGTATATAAGATAATAGATCAACATTACAATCTACATTTTTATCTGTTAATATATATATCGTCTAACGTCTATAATTTTTAAAAACATAATAAATATTTAGTCTATAATTTGTTTGTAGAGTAGACCGCTAGAGTTGTAGTTTACCTGTTGGGCGCGCTTGAGGGAGGTGACGAGCAGCTTGTTCTGGTCACGATCGCGATCGTGGCGCTCCTTATCACGCCGTAATTTTTCATTGGCCGTGCGTAGCTTCGCGTGCGCGTCCCGTAACTCCAGCAGGTCACACTGCAACTCTGTCACCTGATGATTGACATAACGCATTTTTTTATGATCAAGCAGCGTATTCGTGTTTAGGTCTATTCGACAGTAATGCGAAATTATACCACTAATATATAAGTATATTTTGTCACTATTAACCTAGGCTAGTCGGATATTTAAGTGTAGAAATATATAGTAAGATATCACAAACTTCTAAATTGGTTTACAATTAAAGCAAGAGAATGAAATGATATAAATATGGAGAATCACAATCAGTTCAAAAATGTTCAAAAAAAGAGAGAACCAAACGTTTTTGTGTTTACTTATTGTTCCGGACCACCGCTTAAAGATTATATATAGTCATAGTTTGTAGAAATAAGTTCGATTAGATATAGCAAATTTATAAATAGTACAATTGTTACATAGTAACACCTTAAGATTAATAGATTTGATAGGGATAAGTTTATAGAAATTTAAGTTCTTTATGTTATTATTTACAAAAATGCTTGACAAATAAATGATTATAATGGTTGTGGTTTCAATCCCCTAAAAATAAATAGGTCGGCAAATAGAAACGGAATAGAATGTAGTACATAGGCATAAACTATAAAAAGTATCTTTTATAGTATCATTATGTAATCATTTGTAGATATGTAATAATGATTGTAATGTGCGTTGCGCGGCAGCATTCGTTCGACTGACGCGCAACCTCGCTCTACCGCGCTATATATATATGAGGGGGAAGGGGAGCGAGGTCATATAAAAGGCGCGATCCGCGAAATCGCGAATTATTCCTAAACCGCACGTCGCGCAGCGCACACATCATAATAGAAATGTAAATTAAAGATGGTATTGACGTTTGATGCACAAATTGTAAACACAAAATGTAAGATTGATAAAATATAATAAAAATTATATAAAGGGGTGAGGAGAATAGGGCGGCCAAGGGTCCGCTGGCTAGTAGCCAAAAATCGTATATAAGTAGCGTCCAAAAGCGCTACAAATCATAGCGAATTCAACCTCTGAATAGCGACATTGATCTTCAGATAGCGAAATCGACCTGAAAAGGAATCAACCACTGAAGAAATTCTCCTCGCCTCTGCATTCTGAACCACAAGAACCGTTTTCTCATTTACTGCCCGTCCATCATCGCCGTCGTCAAGAATAGTCGTCACAACCCTCTTCACGCATCGTGTCATCGCATCGTGTCACCGTCGCATCATCATCGTTTAAACGTCCTTCTCAGGACGAATCATCGTGGTGCCCATAAAGAGGCACCTGGTCCTTCACCCGCAACGCGCCCGCGGCGTTGATTGAGGCCCTTCAGGTAGGGAGTGCTTTGAAAAGGGCACTCTCTCACCTCGAGGAGGATAGATTAACGTCCGGGCGTACCAGCGACTCGGTGCCTGCCGACGCGCCTTCCGACTCCCGGGGGCAGCGGCCAGCACATCTGCTGGTCCTTCGAGCCGGATCAAGAAGAATAGAAGACAAAATAGAAGATGCCCGTCACACGAAGCAGAACTGGCAAGATGCAAGAGGAGAAGACAGAAGAGCATCAAACAGATGCAGAACAGGTCCCAGACCCACCGCGGAGGGAAAACCCGTTCCCTATTCGACATAGCATACCGCCGAGGTCGCCATAAGGGACACAAGACGTCGAAGAAACCGTCGTTCAACAAACAACGGCGCGATCACAGCTCTCCGATAGAGAAAAGGAGAGACAGAAACAAATCGCTATCGCCCGAGAAGAGGTCATTCGCTATCGATTACAGTTGGCGGAGGTCAAGCTAGCCCGACTGGAAGCCTTCGGAGAAGAAGACGAAGAACCGTCGGAACCAGCATCGCAAGACGGCCACAATAGGGTCGTCGAGTGGCTCGAGCAGCAGTCCGAGCCACCACCGCCTCCACCAGAAGCACCACCGAATCCACCGAAGAGGCCCACACCGGCAAGAATAGAGGAGCCGCTTCGGGGTACCATAGAAACTCACCAACGATTGGCACCCACAGACACCATTCAAGTTGGTGATCTCGCAACTGCAGTAACCGAAATCGTCAGGGCGACTACAGCGTCGCTAGCGGCCGTCGCGCCGCACCCACAAGCGTCAACGTCGGGTCCCCTAGCAGCACAGTATAGAGGGGAACTCACACCGTTCTACGGGGCGCATACCGATTGGCTGGCCTTCAAGGCAGCCTATGAAGAATCTGCGGGGTATCTAACGCCGTCGCAGAACATAGAAAGGCTCCGGAGAGCCTTACGAGGGGAGGCTAGGTCAGCAATGAAGAGCCTCCTAATAGCAAACACGCCGGCCGAAGAGATCATGCACGAGTTGGAGCTCACCTTCGGTCGACCGAACAACATAGCAGAAGTCGAAATAACAAAGCTGCGGAGTCTTCCACCACCGAAGGACACACCGGGGGAGTTCTGCAGATTCGCCACAGCCGTCAAGAATAGCATCGTGTCATTGAAGACGTTGAAGAAGATCAACTTCCTATACAACCCGGAAGTGGCGAAGTTATTAATAGAAAAACTACCGCCGAACATTCGACATAGGTGGTATGTTTACTGCCAGCAGCAAGCCCACGAAGACGTACCGGATTTAGTACAGTACTACAACTTCGTGAAGATAGAAGCTGAAATTTATAGCGTAAGCGCCGAACCCATGAAGATAGCAAGCATGGACGACAAACCGAAGCCGTCGGAAAGTCGTCGTGTTCAAATCCGTCCGCAGCGAACACATACAGCGAGCAAGACGGACAGCCCACCCCGCCACAAGCCAACGTGTCCCGTGTGCAAATCAAATTCGCACACGGCGGCGCAACAGTGTGAAAAATTCAAGAAAGAAAATAGCTACGGGCGTTGGGAAATAGCGAAGGCGCAACGTCTGTGTTTCCGATGCCTACAATATCGAACACAGACACATAACTGCAAGACGAAGACTTGCGGAATAGATGACTGCCCACGTATGCATCACAAATTGTTGCACTACAGGGCAGCGAGCGAGACACAGAAGACAGAGACAGCAACAGTATCGACAGGCGTCTCGCTCACACGTTCACCGCGCAGTTATCTCAAAATACTGCCGGTGAAAATAGTCGGACCGCGGGCCAGCATCGACACTTTCGCCCTCCTCGACGATGGATCTACCGTCACCCTCATAGATGAGGAAATAGCCACAAGAGTCGGCGCGGAGGGGCCGACAGAACCACTGAAAATAGAAGCACTGGCCGGCGCAACGGTTCGAACAAATAGCTCGAGACGCGTAACTCTAACGTTATGCGGATCAGAAGAGGAGTATGAGATCTCCGCCAGGACAATGAAGGGACTCAAACTCGCCAAACAACAAATAGAAGAAAGGGATATCCGACGATGTCAACACCTGGCTGGCATCAAGAAGATACTGTGTTACCACGACGCCACACCAACGATCCTCATCGGCCAAGACAATTGGGAACTGTTGCTGGCCATAGAAGTTCGCCGAGGATCTTCGTCACAACCAGTCGCATCGAAAACTCCGCTCGGGTGGGTGCTGCATGGAGCGTCCACTCGCAGTCTCGGCCATCAAGTCCACCATGTATATCATATACGTGAGGGGGCCGAGGATAGAATAGAAGAGGAATTAAGAAGATATTTCTCTATAGAATCACTAGGCGTGCTGCCAAGAAAGACGCGCGCCGACCCTCAAGAGCGAGCACTACAGATACTACAGAAGAAGACTCGCGCTCTGCCAGATGGGGGATATAGTACATCGCTACTGTGGAAAACAGATAAAGTCGAGTTGCCGAACAACTACGATGCGGCGCTCAACAGGCTGTACAGCACAGAGAAGAAAATAGATAGGAATCCACAGCTGAAAGAAGAATACGAGCGACAAATAGCGCTCCTAATAGAAAAAGGCTACGCAGAAGAAGCCGCCACCACCCCATCGGACGCCCGCACCTGGTATCTTCCGCACTTTCCCGTGCTTCATCCAGCTAAGCCGGGGAAAGTTCGTCCAGTCTTCGATGCAGCCGCTCGCGCCAGGGGGACGTCACTCAACGATCATCTGCTGACCGGTCCGGACTTACTTCAATCGTTACCAGGGGTGTTAATGCGATTCAGACAACATCCAATAGCCGTCGCCGCAGATATAGAAGAAATGTTTCTACGAATAGAAATCAACGAAGAAGATAGAGATGTCCTGCGGTTCCTGTGGCGACAACACCGGCGGGAGGGACCACCCCGCGAATATAGAATGAAGGCAGTGATCTTCGGCGCCGCCTGCTCACCGTGCATCGCTTTGTACATCAAGAACCACAACGCAGAACAACACAAGGAACAATATCCAAGAGCAGCCGACGCAATCATCCATAACCACTATATGGATGATTACCTTCAAAGTTTCCAAACGGAGGAAGAAGCTATGAAAATCACCCATGAAGTTGACACCGTACATAGGAAAGCAAAATTCCATTTAAGGAAGTGGACATCGAACAGCCCACAACTACAAGAAAAATACAACAGCACAAGAATAGAAGATAGGACCGTCTCCATAGATAGAGCCGACAAAGAAGAGAAAATATTAGGCCTCACATGGAGGCCCGCCACGGACACATTGGGCTTCAACTTAAATATGGCCCGAATTCCGCAAGAGATAGTCAACGGAAGTCGCACACCGACAAAAAGAGAAGCCCTCCGGACGGTCATGTCTCTCTTCGACCCACTAGGATTAGCATCACCCGTCACCGTGCAAGCGAAAGGCATTTTACAAGAAACATGGCGAATCGGCATCGGTTGGGACGAGAAATTGCCTGAGAAGTTAGCCGAAGACTGGACGAAGTGGACACAGCACTTAATCAATTTACGCCATATCAACGTGCCACGATGTCATCCGGAGCTGAGCAGCGCGTCATCCAGGGAACTGCACACATTCGTAGACGCAAGCGAGAACGCCTACGCCGCCTCCGTGTATTGGAGAGTGCAAGACAAGGACGGCAACATTCACGTGACACTCGCCATAGCCAAGGCGCGAGTTTCACCTCTGAAGATAGTATCTATACCAAGACTCGAGTTGCAAGCCGCTGTCCTGGGTTGCCGGTTAGCACGTACGGCTACAGAAGAATACCAGATTAAACCGGACCGTCGATACTTCTGGAGCGATTCAAGAACAGTATTAGCGTGGTTAAGGGCTGGTCCACGCACATTCAAACCATTCGTGGCGCATAGAGTCGCGGAAATAGAAGAAGAAACGAAAGCGAACGAATGGAAATGGGTACCTACGCGTCACAACGTGGCCGATGACGCAACTCGAGGAGTGCCCACGGATTTCGACACGGAACACCGATGGTTCACCGGACCCCAGTTCCTATACAAGCCGCAGGAAGAATGGCCCGGGCAAGATGAGCCTGGTGGCATAACAACAGACACCGGAGAAGAACGCACGCACATGGTATACACAGGCGATAGCAACACAACAGACAGCGGCGTACTCCCGGACATCACACGCTTCACGTCATGGCTGCGACTACTACGAGCCACAGCACGCGTGTTGCAGTTCATCGACCGGTTACGCGAAGCGGTCGAAAATAGAAAAAACACCGCCTCACAAAACGCGGTACATTATAGGCGCACAGCGCGCAATATAGAGAAGGACCCGGCGTGGAATAAGAAGACAGCTCGCAAAATAGTACGGACAGCGCCGAGGTTCGACAATAGTGAAGAAAGAAATTTCATCAAATTAACTGCGGAATATATACAGCGCGCGGAACAATTGTGGATACGGGCCGCGCAACAAGAATCGTTCAAGAACGAAATAGAAACACTCCGCGGTAAAGGGACAGTCGATAACAATAGCCGACTGAAACCACTAGCGGTGATCGAAGAAGACGGTTACATCAAGTTGAAATCAAGAATAGCAGCAGTCGTCGATGTTACAGACAGCATGAAGAAACCAATAGTCCTGGATGGGAATCATCGATATACCCAGTTGTACCTGGACTGGGTGCATAGAACGCATCACCACGCCGGAGTCGAGTTGGTGATGAACGAAGCTCGACAGCATTATTGGATACTTCGAGCGAGACCGACAATTCGCAGCATCGTCAAGCGATGTCAACTGTGCCGACTACGACGCGCAACAACATCGATCCCGCCCACCGGAGACCATCCGGTCAGCCGACTCGCCCATCACCAGAGGCCGTTCACATACACAGGCGTGGACTT